AACTAATCCCAGCCAGTATTGCCTGCGGGCAGATATAATGGGAGTTTTAGCTCAAAGTATCTGGAGGGCACCAGTTGGGGAAGGCTGTCCAAAACACAATATTGAAGCATGCCACTGTGCAACTTCCATTTAAGATAACACTGCAAGACTTCAAATAAAATGTATACTTTTTTTTAGGGCTAATCAACTCTTGGACTAAGGCAGGAATTTTTATGTTTTTGTTGCATAACTGCAGCATGATTTAAAAATAAGTGAATATTTTAGTTTGTATTTTTCTTTATCTCATGACCCACCTTAAAGCAGTCTTCCTTAACCTGATACCCTGGAGACCTTTTGACTGCAGCTCCTGTCATCCCTGACCATTGGCTATGCTGATGAGAGTTGTTGTCCAAAATATGTGGACAGCACCAGGTTGACAAAGGCTGCCTTAAGGTGAAACATCTAGAAGGCAGAGCAATGTTACCACCTGATCAATTCTCAGTGGGAAGAAAATAATACACCGGGAACCTGAAATATTTCAAAGTTTGGTAATTAAATTCTAGATGTTGTGAACCATACCCTGAAGGTTGGGGGGGGGGAGCAGGATTTACAGCGATTTAAAACCAACTACTTCCAGAAAAAATTATACAATGTTTATACAACATCACGTTAAATCCAAAAGAACTGCCACCTCACTTATCTGGGCCTAGTTCTTTCTGTTGGATAGTTGGACATAAGTCTTAGGTGCTGTTTCCGTAGGTGTCTGGCAGCTTCCTGGTAACTGCATGGTTCCAAAAGTGGTAAGAAATATGGAGGATGCCAAACATCCTGGAACAGAGCTGTCTAAAATGTGTGTCACGACACTTTAGTGTGTTGGCTGCAGTGTATAGGTGTGTCGTGCGAATGCTCTCCATCCTCCTCTTGGGGCTGGAAGGGGGTGAATTTAACCTCTGGTTTGCTAGTAAAACTGAATTACTGTGTCGTGAAATAATGCATGTCTAAAAAGTGTGTCACCAACATGAAAAGTTTGGAAAGCTCTGTCCTAAAATAAAGAGGGACTGTGGCAAGTTGCGGAGTGTGTGTGTGTGTGCGTGCGTGCGCGCAAAAGGGTTGTTTGTGCTTTCTAGGATGTTTCGATTTCTGAAGCCATCCTTGGAAGGAATGCTCTCTCATTCTTTATCTCTCTCACTGAAAGCTAGCTGAAAATGAAGGGTGCTTATTCTCAGGCTTGTAGAGCAAGCCATCAAAAATGGGTCTATACACACATTCGTTGTCTGCATATATGGCCAGTGCTCTTATTCAGCCTCAGACTAGTGGGGCCTGAGAAAAAGGCATTACCGGTACCTTACGGATGCATGGTCAATGTACTGTATAATTACTGAGATTCACACCAAATTAGGTAGTGTTTGGAAGAAGTAAGTTCTTCCACAGTTACCAGAATTTGTATTCCTGTCCCTTACTTTGGCAGAATCTTCCATTAAATACTCATGCTGCCACAAGTTCGGTGTGTCCAGAAATAGCTGTTATGTTGCTCACCTCTGAGTCCACTTTCAGTCCACTTTCCAAGATTGCTATGATGCATTTTTCCTCATTTCCTCATTGCTTCTTCCTCATTTACATCTCCCTGCATGTTCATCAGCAGTAATTTCTCATCAGTAATTTTTATTTCCCCCCTCCCAAACATCATTAGTAGTAGTAATGTGATTCTGTAAGTGCTATAAGCCTGGCAAAAGCCTGTAATATTTGAGTATATTTGTCTTATTTATTATTAAATTCATATCCCACCTTCCTCCAATGAGCTCAAGATTATATACAAGGCTCTCTTTTTTCCCATTTTATCATCACAACCCCCCTGTGAACTATGTTACGTTGAGAGGCAGTGAGCTTCTTTTCCAAGTGAGGATTTTAACCCTGGGTTTCTGGTTCCTGGTCTAAGACTCTTTAACAATTGCTATGAGAGTAATGTTTTACTTTAATCGTGTTTTGATTTAACAATGTTAAGTAAGGAATATACAAGTAGCTACATTTAATACTGAGAATTTTAATCATGCAAATAGATATGAAGAGGTGGACAAATTTGTTGTGGCAGTTGCTGGTGTCACAAAGTCACTGAAGTCAATATGCCCTCAGCCTGCCATGATTTAAAATACACAATGTATGCCTACAGATAAAATAGCTTTTAATAAACTTATCAAATATAGAATGATAGGAAGTAAAACCTGGTGCAACATAATTATAAAGGCAAAACCTTCTTTGAAGGTTTATGGATATCAATAAAATATACATATTGCTGAATGGAAAGTTATTGTATAGAAAACAATCCATGACTTATATAACATTTCTCAGATATGTTTTCTAATACTATCATTTCATTCATAAAATAAGCAATATGATTGAATGCACTCAAGAAGCCTTTAAAAAAAATCAATATAATAGCTGTTAGAAAACCCTTTTTACAGGTAAGTGATCAGAGCAATAGCAGCAGAGAGATGTATTCTTCTTCATTGAAACCCACATCTATACATATATTCTTTTGTGTGTGTATTAAAACAATTTTAACATGGAGTTCTTTTTCTCCAAACTCAAAAGCTGTCTTGTAGTTTATGAATACTGTAGAGGATGGTAAGTTATATTAGAATGTTCTCCACAGGTTCATTTATCACAAAAGGTAGTCTTTTGTGCAAAATTCTGATTGAAGGTCTGTATGTTCTATTGATTGGATGAAATCCAAGGTTATAGTGAGTCAATTGTTCAGTACCTCAGTGAAAACTTTGTAGATGCCTGCAGGAGGCTGATAGGTCAATAGTTCCTCAGGTTCCTTTTATTACAGTTTTTGTGTGTAGCAAAATGAAAATAGTGTTATTCTACTACTAACACTTTTTTCTCTTTAATTATTTTTGTGACTGGCTTTCCTAGATTCCATTCATAGCTGTGCAATACGGAGGTATACCTCAAGCTGCCTTACACTTTTGACCAGCTATTATTTTTAAAAAATACATGGAAAGATATTTAGTCTTAAACATTATTCCTTAGTTCATTATGCAATCCAGGGTTGTACCCCAATGGCATTCAGAGAGCTAAAAGTCAACTATTTTAATTAGGCGCTAGTTAGTGTGTCCCTGAAATGTTCTGAATATTGGTTCTGGCCTTTTGATTATGTATTTATAGCTAGTAGGGAAGAAGTGGCAATTTAGAATTCTAGGGTAGAAAGGGACCCCAACAATTCATTTCATCTACTGTCACCCTGCTGATACAGGAAACCCACTACTATAGCATCCCTGATAGGTTGCCATCAGCTTTCTGCTTAAAAACCTTCTAACAAAGGAGAAGCCACAATTTTTCAGGCAACCTGTTCTACTGTTTAATAGCTGTATTTTTGTTGATTGAAGCAATCATTCTTCCAAATGTTTGTCTAAATTCTTTCCCCTAAAATCTGAATCCATTGCTTAAGATCCCACCGTCTCAAGCAACAGAAAACAAAACCATTGTTTCATTTGCATGACGCTGCTTAATAGTCTTATCTTCAGGTTAAACATGCCCATCCTTCAACCTTGCCTCATAAAATCTCCAGCCTCACTCCATCTTTCTCATCCTTCTTTGAACACATTCCAGTTTGTCAGTGTTCTTTTAAACTGCAGTATCGAGAACTTTACACAGGAGAAGTATAAGCAAAGCAGAATAGAGTAGTACCTTTTTTGCAATCTGGACACCATACTTCTCTAGATGCAACCTAGAATTCCATTTGCTATTTGTGCTATCACATCATACTGCTGACGTATATGTAGCATGTGGTATACTAAAATCACTAGATCACTTCCACATGTAAGGTTATCAAACCCAGCGTCATCCAGGGAATCACATCAGTGAGAGAAAAACTTACTGAAATCAGGTTTCCTAAAGTCTTGGGTGCACATCTGACTAGGTTAAGCTTTCTCTTTCCTCAGTATCATGAATCCCAAGATGTTGTGGTCACTTACATTCTCTGCTGTTTCACCTCAGCAACCCAACCAGTTCTTATGGTTGATGAATATCAGGTGTAGGGTAGCAGGTCCCCATGTTTCTTCTTTCACTTTGTGGAAGATAAAATTTTCAACAAGACAGGTCAGGAATTTGTTAGACCTTTAAATCAAAGCAATGTTCACCTTCCAGCAGATATCTAGAGAGTTGGAATCTTCCATTGCTGCCATCTCTCCCCTCTTTGAGAATGTGGTAGGTAATCTTATCTAGGAAGGTGTCATCCTTGTTTTTTACCTAAGTTTTTGTACCAGACTTCCACAGTGATATTGGGTTCTATTGAATGTAGTGCTAAGAACAACAGCTCAACACTGCAAATATTTGTCATTGTGCAATGGAACATTCTCCAGTGTGGTGTAGTGGTTAAGTGCGGTAGATTTGTAATCTGGTGAACCGGGTTTGATTCCCCGCTCCTCCACACGCAGCTGCTGGGTGACCTTGGGCTAGTCACACTTCTTTGAAGTCTCTCAGCCCCACTCACCTCACAGAGTGTTTGTTGTGGGGGAGGAAGGGAAAGGAGAGTGTTAGCCGCTTTGAGACTCCTTAGGGTAGTGATAAAGCAGGATATCAAATCCAAACTCCTCCTCCTCTCCTTGCTGTCCAAGCAGCTTGACCAATTACATTTTAGAATCTAAAACCTAGACTTTAAAGTTTCTGACCAACCCGTTATAGGAAGAGTTAAGGCTAACCTATGCGGGTGATAATTATTACTCAATGTAGCAATTTATGATTGTTTAAATAATTGTCCTTTTAACCTTAAAATATTTTCCAGGTTATAGTTATAATCCTCAAGCCAAACAAACAAACAAAAACCCTACCCTACCTGCAAACAGGTGTAAATTTGTTTGAGCCACTTCACAATAGGTTTGTTGTTGTTTCATATGCCTTTTAATGAACTCCTTGTTTTTATATAAAATGCAATAAAGGGCCTTCTTTAGATCCAACTAATGTAGTACTAATTTGGTTCATGAATCCAGAAAGATGTTTGTACGTGTGCTTTCTTTCAGGCATTTATAGCAGCAATGATGTAGCAGTGTCCTTTCCAAACACAGTGTCTGGCTCAGGATCTAGCACTCCTGTTTCCAGTTCACATTTACCTCAGCAGTCTTCTGGTCACGTACAGCAAGTGGGAACTTTGTCTCCATCTTCTACACCTTCTGTAACTACAACTGTTGCTACAACTCAGGTAGGTTGGTTTTTTTATTGGTGAGATATTCTGCCACGACAAATATTGGCTATTTGTATTTCGGTTAACTAAATACAAATATTTGAACAATATAATATGTTAAGTCTTACATTCCTTGGATATTTTATGTAGAAGGCAGGATAAAAATACTTTAATACTTAACCTTCTCATATTTGTGACTTCCCGTTAGTTTCTCTTCACTTGTTTCATAAAACTTCTGCAAATAGTATTCAGAGCGTCTGCACACTGTGGTTTCAATATTAGCATTACGACAGATTTCCATTCCCCCCACCCCTGTTGTGCCAGTGTTTGCCTTCCAAAGCTAATCCTTTCAATAAGTGCCTTATAAGATCTCCGTTGAAAGTAGACATTATAATTGGGTTATAACTAAGGCTGCAATCCAAACCCCCTTTATTCCTGGCTGGGGGTGGTAGTGGTTTGGATTGGGCAGAAGTGTTCCTCCATCTAGTCATGCTGGCCTTTGCCTGCATGGTAAAGTCAGCATCACTTTGCCAGACTGGAACTGCTTGTTTTGTTTGCCAGGCGGGCAGAAATGGTGGTGGTGGGATCCCCACTAGCAGCAGCCAGTGGAAAGGCCCAGAATGTACCCAGGGAGCAGCTGAACTAGCCTGGGATCTGCTAGATATGCCTAAGCCAGCGCCACTGCCATCATGTGACAGCATCAGACTCAATTTAGGCCTGATCTCCCACACCTTCTGCCCTGGCCAGCAGGGTTGTCAACGTGGGTTGCTGCTTCTCTGCCAGAGTTTAGATATTGCACCCAAAGTCAGCATACACAATGATGAAGATGTATGCTGTGCCTAAAACATAAAAGGCAGTCTTTTAAAAAGCTTGGGGCATTTAAAAAACAAGAACCATCCATTGTGAGGGAATATAAGGTAAAGGTAAAGGTACCCCTGCCCGTACGGGCCAGTCTTGACAGACTCTAGGGTTGTGCGCCCATCTCACTCAAGAGGCCGGGGGCCAGCGCTGTCCGCAGACACTTCCGGGTCACGTGGCCAGCGTGACAAGCTGCATCTGGCGAGCCAGAGCCGCACACGGAAACGCTGTTTACCTTCCCGCTGGTAAGCGGTCCCTATTTATCTACTTGCACCCGGGGGTGCTTTCGAACTGCTAGGTTGGCAGGCGCTGGGACCGAACAACGGGAGCGCACCCCACCGCGGGGATTCGAACCGCCGACCTTTCGATCAGCAAGCCCTAGGCGCTGAGGCTTTTACCCACAGCGCCACCCGCGTCCCTGTGAGGGAATATAAAAAGTTTTAAATTCAGCACCAAAGGGGTTAATTAAAGAGAGTTCCCTTTAACAAAACACTTCTTCCAGGCCCCACAGGTGAAATAAATACAGGTACAAAAACCCTTCTACTAAAATGTCTTTAGGACTGTAAATTGAGGGCTTGAAAGAAAAGTACTCTGCTTTGACTAAGAATAATCATATTGGGAGGGGGTAATATAAATACAAGAACAAATTAAAAAATAGATCAATATCACAAGTGACACAAAAAAACCCAAACCAATTTAATGTAAACGCAACAAGTTATCAGTGCAATTTGCATTGTTCGGTTGTGGTTTTTCACCCCCTAGGCTCACACACAAGCTTCTTCCCCTCTCCGATTTGAGCCCTTTTCTGCTGTTAAGGCTCCTTGTGTGGGAATGAATATTTGAGAAATGGGGGCATGTTGCTAAGCTCTGCCCCTTGAGCATGTCAGCTCAATACGTGAGGTTGAGGGTGATTGGCTGAAGCAAGAGTTCTAAACCACTCAGGAAGACTCCACAAGTATGGAGGTGCAATATTGGGGGCAGGGCTTCACAGCACAGTCCTACTGTATATTCATTGACACATGAAGAGATTGAACACCAAAGTCGGGCATCTTTCTCCTTCACTTATTGGTTTCAGAATTGGAAGCTCACTTCAAATCATGGAACCTGATCTTTCTTACTTCCTCCTGGTTCCTGGCGTAGTTCTTCCTTGAACCCTTCTTCCTCATTGGGATCTGCCTCAGGTGCCAAAATGTCTTGGGCCGCCCCTGTGCTCAGTTGTGTTTAGAACATACTTTTTAGGAGAGAAAGCTAGCCTTGATTATTTATGATTCATTTTGGAGTTTAACCTCTAAATAATAACATAGTTCCTTGCGAAGGCAGAAATTTCATAACAAGGTTTCTCTTGCTAACTCCAGCTGAAAGGAGAACCTCAGCTAGTAGCACCAAAGCCTGCTTATCATCTCATTGTAAATTTTGCCAGAAGAATAAGAAAATGGGCAACATTATGGTATTTCTGCTAGGTGAAAGACAACATGAGAAAAGGGGATGGAGCTTCACCTGTTTACCCTTTAGTACTTTACCCTTTTGGTACTGGACTGGATGAAATGCTTACTATGTTCTGTCATAATTGCTGTCTTGGCAGTGCTTTTTGTGCCTAAAACATAAAAAGTCAGTCTTTTAAAAAGCTTGGGGCATTTAAAAAACAAGAACCATCCATTGAGAGGGAATATAAAAAGTTTTAAATTCAGCACCAAAGGGGTTAATTAAAGAGAGTTCCCTTTAACAAAACACTTCTTCCAGGCCCCACAGGTGAAATAAATACAGGTACAAAAACCCTTCTACAGTAGTAAAATAGCTACTCTGGTAATTGCTGCAGTTGCTGTTAATACAGAGATCTGCAAGATTCTTTAAACAGTTATGTGTAAGTAAAAAGTTGTTTCTTTTCCTCATTCAGTTTGAAGTTTCATTTTTATCCTTCTCTGCAATTGAGTTTTTTCTTATAGCTGTTGCAGTATATAGATGCTTCAAATGATATGATTTCTGCCTTTGCAAGCATGTGTGTCATGGTTTCATAAGGCTGTTCTTTCTGGTAGTCATATATATAATGAAAAACTTTGTTTTTTATGTGCTAACAAACAGGCATAATCTTTGGAAAGGTATTCATACATTTTGAATCTCCTTATTCCATATAAAAGGAGATGCAGCTGAGAGAGTAGATGCTAAACAGTTTGTAGGCTTGTTTAACAAATAGGTTATGTAACACTAAGCCCTGTATTATTTGGTATTGTGCTTATACTTATTGCTTCAGTTTGGCATTTGTGCTGTACTTTACTGGTTATTGCTGTATCACTTTATCACACAATCACAAATGTGGATATTGCCAGTCATAATTACTTTTATGGGGGTCCCACCTGTCCTTCCTGATCTATTACTATGATATCTGAAGGGGTGTCCATACATTCAGTAACTATTTGATAAGGTAAAAAATGTAAAATGTAAAAAATGGTTGGGATACATTATTTGTATTTTAAAATTCTGACTATTTTTGATTAGCACAATGAAACCATTTAAAGCAATGATTCTCAAACATTTATTTTCAGAATAAAAATTTGATTGCACCACACCAAAAATTTTAATTGGTAAGAAATACATGAAAACAGAAAGAAACTACTCTTAGCAGGACTTGATTTATTACATAGAACACAGCTACTTTATAATATGATCACGGGACACCCAGAAAGTGTAAAACAATGCAGCTACATAAGAACATGAACCCCTCCCAAAACGTAATTATAAACAATCCTACTACCTTAACTTGAGGAGAGGTGTGAACTTGCTTTTGTTGGCTAATCTCATTCATATTAGCTTTAATTTGAGACAAACTCTCATCTCATCAGCGGGAATGAAATGTTTAAATGCTTCTTTGATTGTCCTTGAATCTCCCCCCCCCCCCACTTGCCATTCTCTCCTGCCACATGAGTGTGGTGTGCCACACCTTTTGAGAACCACCAATTTAGAGAACTCTAAATCTTGTTTTGCAGCTACTTTTTTATTGGTAGCTGCAAAAAGTTAACAGCAAGGTGTTGCAAAAATAAGGGTGCATGTGTGACACAAGAATAGTTTAACTTTGTCTGGTATAATGCACTAGCAGAGAAATTGAAGTTTTCAGATGGCCAGACTGTGAAGACAATTTTGTGGGCAAGTGGTATAATAATAATAATAATTTATTATTTATACCCCACCCATCTGGCTGGGTTTCCCCAGCCACTCTGGGCGGCTTCCAACTGAATATTAAAAACAGTACAGCATCAAACATTAAAAACTTCCCTAAAGAGGGCTGCCTTCACATGACTTTTAAAAGTAAAATAGTTGTTTATTGCTTTGACATCTGCTGGGAGGGCGTTCCACAGGGCAGGAGCCACTACCGAGAAGGCCCTCTGCCTGGTTCCCTGTAACCTTACTTCTCGCAATGAGGGAACCGCCAGAAGGCCCTCGGCGCTGGATCTCAGTGTCCGGGCTGAACGATGGGGGTGGAGACGCTCCTTCAGATATACTGGACCGAGGCCGTTTAGGGCTTTAAAGGTCAGCACCAACACTTTGAATTGTGCTTGGAAACGTACTGGGAGCCAATGCAGATCTCTCAGAACTGGTGTTATGTGGTCCCGGCAGCCACTCCCAGTCACCAGTCTAGCGGCCGCATTCTGGATTAATTGCAGTTTCCGGGTCACCTTCAAAGGTAGCCCCACGTAGAGCGCATTGCAGTAGTCCAAGCGGGAGATAACTAGAGCATGCACCACTCTGGCAAGACAGTCTGCGGGCAGGTAGGGTCTTAGCCTGCGTACCAGGTGGAGCTGGTAGACAGCTGCCCTGGACACAGAATTAACCTGTGCCTCCATGGACAGCTGTGAGTCCAAAATGACTCCCAGGCTGCGCACCTGCTCCTTCAGGGGCACAGTTACCCCATTCAGGACCAGGGAATCCCCCACACCTGCCCGCCCCCTGTCCCCCAAAAACAGTACTTCTGTCTTGTCAGGATTCAGCCTCAATCTGTTAGCCGCCATCCATCCTCCAACAGCCTCCAGGCACTCACACAGGACCTTCACCGCCTTCACTGGTTCTGATTTAAAGGAGAGGTAGAGCTGGGTGTCATCTGCATACTGATGAACACCCAGCCCAAACCCCCTGATGATCTCTCCCAGCGGCTTCATATAGATATTAAA